GCTCTCTCAGCTTATCGAAATGTGTACACTACGAGTTTCAAATTTCAGCCCCGTGATAAGCTCCACTGATTCACGCTGGGCGTTCAACATCTTAAAAATGTTATTATTTTATTCAAAAATTAGTATAAGTTTCGTAAACACGCAAATATTACGATTAATAATATAATTTTCTTATATGCATGGGTCAGTACATGTCTTTGGATATTTTTTATAAATACATATAAAAATCAAATTTAATAGACATATTTTGTCTTTATGAATCAAATATATTTTATAAAGAAGCAAAATAAAAATGTGACAGTAATTTACTTGCTTTTGAATGGAATTTGTCAGCTGCTCCTCATGTATCCTACAGTGTTCTCTAATTCTTTTTCTCTGATGTATCTAGTAATCCTTTTTTTTTCAATATTTCAGACAATACAATTATTATATATTCTATGTATTTCATAATTATTTATTATAATATTTGCGAAATAAAGAGTTTAATACAAATTTTTCAATAAAATAGAAACATTTTTAAATAGAAATAGAAAAATAGAAAAATAGAAATAGAAAAAAAAATTAGAAAAATAGAAAAGAAATGACACGTATATATATATATATACCTTCCAGACTTACACTCTTATACAACTTACAAAGAAAGACTTAACACCTTTTTTCTTTATTTCGACCGTCGGTTCGTTTGGACCTTATACTTTTGTCGCATACCTACGTGCTTATCTCTGAATATTTTTCTACCCTTCTATCGCTCGTACCTACAAACAGGTATAGTATCGAAATTATTCTATATGTGTCCACGCTTCGTAGTATGCAGTCGCACACAAACACACACATATACAACCAGGAGCGATAACTACGAAGCATAGCATAAAGAGGAGACCGAGAATAGGAAAAACTATATAACTATATTCTGTCTCATTCTCTCGCAGGCTCAATCCTATATGTGTGCCTCTATTTCTCTTCTTACTAAATATCGTGGCCCTTGCATAGCGGCCCGTCGCTCCGTTGCCTCGCCATCTACTGCTTCGTTGCCTGAACCAGCGTTTCATTTTTTTCAAATCACTCCCTATTCTAAAGAAGTTTTCACTTCAATAAATAAAATCGTACGCCGTTTTAAATGTATGAAAATATTATATCGTTGATTCGAAAGTACCATGAAATATGAAACACAAATTTATAAAATATATTTCATTTCAATTAATCGAGATATAATAAAATAAAAAGAAAAGATATAATATATATATTTGTTCAAAAATTTAATATTCAAATAAATGAAAATATAAACCAAAAAAAAACGCAATGTTAAAATAGATATTAATATTTGTGCCGATCAAAAGTTAATAAAAAAAAAAAAGTGCTAAAGTATATTGTTTCCACAAATACACACACTCACATATATATTATCAAAGATCAAACGTTAAAATGAAAAAGAAATACAATATCTCGTTTTAACAGATTAATAGTGTATCAATAATTCACATATAGACATATATGTATATAAAAAAAAAAAAAGAAAAATTGAAATTCAACAATTTTCAAAACTTCTTCTTTAACCATCACCCCCATTTTCTTTTTCTTATCTTATCAAAGAGTACGTTGTACGCGAAGAATAGGAAGACCGACGTTACGGTGAAAATAACGCAAAGCCGCGAAAAAGGAAAAGAGAACGGAAGAACCTGCGCGTTTGAGATTTGCACGGTAAACAAGAGAGATAGAGAGAAAGAGAAAGAGAGATAGAAAGAAAGAAAGAAAGAGCTTTTTGTACGTCGGATTTGTAAAATTGATTCCACCATCGAGTCCGTGTTTACGACGTCGCCCGTTGCACGAACGACAAGCCGTGGCCCGAGGAAAAGAAAGACGATTTATTTCGCGTCAGCTTTTTTCCCTTTTCCCCTCCTTTTTCCATCCCCTTATCCTCTCTCTCTCTCTTTCTCTTTTTCTATACCCCTTTTTACTCTTTCTTTTTCAACTAAACGCCACGGACGTTTCGCGTGTATTCGCCAAACGATACGAAAGAAGAAGACCAGTTCACCAACCTGTTTTCCTCAAGCCTCTTATCGACGACCATTCCCTACTTTTCCTCCCCCTTCCTCCTCCTCCTCTTTTCCCCTCTCCTCTTCTGCCCACGATTCTCTTACTTTTCGATTCGAAATTCACGGACTCGTACCTTTTCCCTTTTTTCTTCTTCTTCTTCTTATTCTTTGGATTTTGTTCCCCTCTTTCTTATCGACCTACTCCTCCTCCCACCATAGCCACCCCTCTCTGTATCCCACTCCATTTCTTCCATCACCCATTTACTTCCTCTTATCTTTTTCCTTTTCCACTACAAGCTCTCATGTTGCCACGAGATTTTAATGTCAATGTACGTTTCGTCTTTTCAAAAAGCTCTTCCTAGCAATCGCAAACAACAGTAAGAAAATAAATTTATGAGCTCTTATTTTGTATTTTCACTTTCATCCTCCCCTATACGAAAGGATAGTAAATTGTATATATGTGGGTATATATGTATATTTATATATCAGCTATTATTTTAATGGTAAGTAGGAAAAGATATAATGATACTTTGTATCGTAAATCGTAGAAAAGTATATCTTGTGAGATACGAGAATATATGTTTAATTTGTATAAAGTTATATAATACGAGGGAAGGATATTTAATTCATTAGAAAAAAATAATATATTAATGTTAAATATTAATATCTTTAGAAAAATTATTCTTTTGTTTCCAAATTTGGATACAAAATTTGTCTACCCTCCATAATCCAAATACATTCGCGTAGTCACTTATTATCCTAACAGTATCTCGGTTAAGATTATGATTTATTATTTACAATTAATAACAAATATCCTTAATAAATAAATATATAAATTAACGGGTATGGAAAAAGCATATTTTTTAAAACTTAATTTGTTCTTAAAAAAAAACATTGTATTAACTCTTTTCGGACGTACTCAATTTGGACATGGGTGTCGTAGTGATCGGAATTAATTTATATACATATATATTTCATATATATTTTTATTATATATATACAGGTATCCCTTCAACAACACGGTTTCGCATTTACACGATTTACATTTTGCGGGAACCCTCCTACAACACGACATTCTATAAAACTGTTTTCTCTTTCAAAAAACCTTTGTACAACACTGTACTTCTACAGCCACGGCGAGGCTTGCCATCTTAAAGATACAGTGTTGCTGAAAGTATTTCTTTTCATCTCTAAGGCCCGAAAACAAAAGTGTCTCACGCTGCTGTGAACTAAAAACATCAACGTTAAATGCGTGTTGGAAGAAGATATGGCCCTCTTCAGTTGAAATAGAAAACGTGCGTAAATCGTCACAAAATGAAATTGGTTGCATATTAGAACTTGCTAAATCAATCGGAGGCGAAGGTTTTGTGGATATGGCTATTGAGGACGTTCAAGGTTTATTAGTGACAAAAGAAGTTGACGAAGCAGATTTGATGGAAATGATATCCGAAACAAAAAATCAAATCGATCTTGAGGACACCAGCACTGATGAAGATTGTGCAAATAATAAGTTAACATTACCAAAATTAAAAGAAATCCTAGGCTTAGCTGAAAATCTCGAGTCATTTGTCTTGAATGCAGACCCTTACGCAGAAAGAAGCCTAAAATTCAAAAGAGAGCATCAAAACTGTCTAGCTCCATACCGAGAAATTTACAATGACCTGGTAAGAAACAACAAGCAAAGTAATATTACAGATTTTTTAAAGAGGGAAAAAGATGCAAGAAGTTTAGGTGAAGAAAAACATTCTAAAAGTGAATACGATATCATTCCCCCAAAAAAACGTTCTCGGTTGATTAAACTGAGCAGTGACGATGAAGAAATTTATTAAATTAAAGTTGCGTTAAATTAAAATAATATATATTTTTTTATATTGTCCTACATTTATATTTTTAATAAAAATAAAGTTGTTTATTAAAAAAAAATAAAATAATTTTTGTTTTGTATTGTTCCTATATTTATAATTTTTAATAAAAATTAAGTTAGTCATTTAAAAAAAAAAAAAATATTTATTTTTAAAAAGTTTTCGGACCCCCCTTTTTGCATTAGCTCTGGGTCTCAAACAACACGGTTTCAAATAACACGGCATTTCCTAGGAACCTATCTACCGTGTTGTTAGAGGGAGACCTGTATAAATATATATATATATATATGTAGGGAAATCAATTGTTCTGTATCCGGCTAAGGATATCTAATCTCCCCGTGTTGCCGGTACTATTTAAGATATAGAAGATATTCTTTATTTCGACAAGTATAATCAGTATACAGTAGCAATTCACAATTTCCCACACTCACTCTGACTTCACAAAACGCACGAAACCCGTATCGCTTTTCCGTCACTCGCTCTCGTCACTCGGTTCTCTCAACGCTCCTCCACGCTCGCACACGCGTGACTGTCCTTTCCTTATAGGTTCACGCCCCCACCCTGCATCCCTGGGGGGATGAGCCATTCTTCTCATCGTTCTCGAATTTTCCCAACGTCCAGCTCGGTCTAATAAACAAATCACCGATATCGCGTGAGAACTTTTTAGGCTCACACAAACTTGCACACCCACAACTTACGCAACTCACAGAAAACAGACCACGCATCGTCTTTCTTTATTTCAACCATCGAGTCCTTTTCCCTTTAGTCCTTCGTCACCTACCTACTTATCCATGTTTACTCTTCGATACTTAAAACTACCCGACATATATATACTTATTATGTAAAATATATAATTGTTTACATAAATATGTAAAATACATATTATGTAAAAATACATATAAAATATAAAAGATTAGCACGGTTTCTTGGCTGAGAGTGAACACGCGCCCGAAAAGGGTTAATAATAAATATTATTCCGTTATTGATCAATGATTCATGATCTATATTAGAAAGAAGTGAACAAGTAATTTATCAAAATTACTTGGTAAAAAGAATAGATTCACCTTGACAAAAAGTTTAACTGAATAATTCAAGATATACTCACCGATGACGTTTAGAGTATAATTCAACGACATCTTTGGTTCGGTGCTAACCTGGCACTCGTAAACCCCGGAATCTCGTTCTTGAGGTGACTTGATCTGTAACGTCCAGTTTTCAGACTTGTCCGGATGGATCACTTGGAACCTCAGATCTGAAGTATACATAAGGATTCCGGCGCTAAGGATATGCATATCCCTCTTCCGCATCCAGGATACCTACGAAGTAAGAGTATGTTAAACTAAACAACATCGATCATTTCTTTTTTTCTTTTCTTTTTTTTTTAAAGCTATACTCGCAGTAAATGCAGTAAGAAATATACGAATCCCCTCTACTGTACATTTAAAACGATCAAATACTCTTATCAGATCAATATTTGGTCAATTAATTGAAAACAATTTAAAAATAATTTGATAAAACAAATATTTAATTATTCAAATGTTCTACAGGTATATAATCAATATGTTTTTGGTTATAATACAGTAGTAAATTACTTTGAAAGGTAAATTTAAATTAAAACCGAGTTAAATTCAACTATTTAAATAGTATATTGAAATGAACTTTAATGAAAGACAAATAATGAAAACATAAAAATTTTGTTTAAATAAATCTTTATAGGAGGACTTATTTTTACTGTAAACAAGGATCGATATCAAACGTATTCGTCTACGTATTTTATCATACGTTAGAGTTTCATATGACATTTATCGGACTTTATAACAAATCAATGAGAGCAAATCAAAGAAAAAAAAATCAAGGAGAGAGAGAGAGAGAGAGATATCGTCAAGGATTTAATGAACTCGGTAGAACTCCAATGAACGATTCACCGTGTGTGATTTCGTATTGTACAAACGGCCACAGGCTAATTCTAGCATTGCAGGATCACCGCAAAATAGAAGAGGAAGAGAGAGAGGAAGAGAGAGAGAGATAGAACTAGGAGTTTAGCAACAGTAATACTAATCTAAACGAGCGATAGTAGGAAGCTGCTTGTATCAAACGGATTGATCGTTTCTACCAAACTCACGATCCTCATCGATTGACCATGAATGTCACGTTGGAAACTGAGTTCCTTATGAAAGCTTCTACAACCGCTAAGTGAATCCAATATGTGTGATCAAAAGCATCCCACAACATTCTATGTCGTATACCATATATCAAAAGTCTCTATTACAACTTACTAGTTGTTTGATCGATCTTCTATCACAAGTGTCGATTAATTCGATCATCGTTCAAAATTTATTTTAATATTAAATATTTTTCGATTACATAAATATATTTAAAAAATATGATTGTTGTAGTCGTAGTAATAAATCTAACAAAAGTTTATCTTCAAAATTAATGAACGTTATTATTCGATAGAATTATTCGTATTAACAAAATTAAAAATAAAAATTAATAATATAGGGAAAAATTAAAACAAACGATTAATAAATCAAGAAAAAAAAATAAATTCCAATACAAATTAGCCCTGAAAGAGAATCTTTACTTTGTTATTTTTTCAAAGTAAAATATCTCGAGCAGTAAAGAAACTTTCCTTACTCGAACAGCCTTTCTTAAATCAGTATTACATAACACGGTAAACTCTTATCAAAAGAGAAAAAAAAGTGGACGAGAAATTTTGTGTCTAATAAAGTAAGGGTCTTCTCTCTCACCATTTTTTCTCCTAGGAAGATCCTTTTCAAACGATGCCGGTTGACCTACTGAGGACTAATGCGTGTTTCTCATAAGTAAACTAGTATCAACGAGAAACGGATGTAAATAAAAACATAAAAGTTAGAACGTATCGAAAGTATCGTAGAGAAATTCCGCAAAACTTGTTCAAAAGATAAAGATTGTTGTTTAATTTTGTTGAAAATTAATATATCGGGGTTTTTGAAATCACCGTGATTATACGAATCTGATAATTATTTTTGTAAACAACAAAATGATGCAAACTGTTTTTAAATAAAAAATTTTTTTAAATGTTTTTCTTTTTTTATAAAATAAATCTATTTATTAGAATATGTTATATTTATTTATAATTATACTATTATATAAAAACTGTACGATCCGAAATGATCGTACGGTAACTAGCTGTATTCGAATGCGCGCGTCTGATTCTATCGATTACGATTCTAGATCGATACTTGTGACGAATATCGAACAACCACAAGTGACTAGCGAAGCACTAACCTCACCTCTCGCATCCCCACCTCTCGCATTCCCACCATATGCGCCCTGCTGGGCCAGTTCAAAGGAACATTCTTCCTTTTTCATCACTGGACGCCTACGACGATACATCTTCAGCACCTAAGGACCATAGAAGCCACATGGAACAAAGGACTTAAGGATTCACAAGGAACAACAAAGGATCATAAGAATTCACCAGGAACAACAAGGGAACCCCCAACCTTTATGGTTGTGAACGTAAGCGAATTCTACTCCTCAACCTTTACGGTTGTGATCGCTATATGTGAGGCGTGCGAGAGGTGAGATCTTTCTATCGTATACTTTTCACGCGAACTATAATTTTCCTCGTGGCAACGCCACGTGGTAGATCTTCATTATTATATTTTACAAATAACATCCAGGGTTTTTATGTTGCAAGGCTTTTCCCTGACGAGCCAATAAAGCATCGCATCTTTGATTGGCTCAATCACGTGTTTTATTTTACACCTGAACTTAACCCTTTATTCTCCACATCATAGCACATACGTAATTGCCAGAGAACTCTTAACTGAAGAATTTAGGCCCCAACAAAAACGATGTACTTTTTTATATGACTATATCGAATACTTGTATTTTTTGTATTATAATAAAATTTGAAAATATATCGAATTTTATTATTTTTACTTATTTTTAAGACACAATAACTTTTTATTAAATAAGAATATTACAACTGTTTTTTTTTTAAATTATTCTATGATGTATCATCTTTCAAATAGATACAAGTATTAAACTTACAATTATCTATCAAGAAAATGCAAAGAAGAAAATGTATCGAATTATTTAATTAATTCGATTTAGATCAAATTCGAAAATAAAATGAAGAAGATAAAAAGTTTGTATATATGACGAATCGATAATTGCGTTATCTTCGTGATTAATCATTGGCCAATGATTGGCATTGTTTCAATGTCTCTGTCATAAACGCATACCACATCAATTATAACAATTGCTTGAATAATCATGAATGGATGATGCCTCATGGGCATTAGCTATGGTGCCTTCTCTCAAGTTTAGTATAGCAATATCAAAGGGAAAATGGATCAACTGACTCGCTTTTCTAATCAAACAAGATGACGTTTCTAAGATGACGTTTCTAAGAAAATCAAATGTTGCCATCAAATGTTGAGTAAATACTTATACGTATTGATTGATAATTGATTTAATAATAATCGATGTTTTAAATGATTTTAAGAAAAAAAAAATACGTTAATTTAAATTTAAAAGCATATCAATTTAAATTTTAATATAATAATACAATATAACCTCTATTACTTAATTATATTAAATGTACGAATGAATAATTCAGATTTTTTTTCAATAATTAAATCAATTAATATTAAGTTTTACTAATTATCTTGTTTTCTTAAAACAAAATAAAATATATTATTAGATATTTTGTAAAAATCAGAAAAAAAATAAGAATCATTTAAATGTATAATTATTATCATTACATCACGAATTTAATTTAAACATATTTTACAAACGATAGAAACACACAATAGAAATAATTTACCAATGTACCATGAAACAAATGTACATACGTATGAGAATGATGTATTGCAAATTTACGGCTTCCTATTTATTGAAATTAATTGAATTTTCTTTATACGTAGACTTTATAATTAATAATATTGTTTGGAAATACAATAAAAGAAATATATGTAGCATTCTCTTTTGGACAGAATTCGTTAGATCTACATATGTGTCTGTGTGTGAGTGTGCAAACATGCATTTAATGAAACATTCCCGATTAAAATAATAATATGGTTTCTATACAAAAGTAAATATCATATCTATCCTTTCCGATGGTTAATTATTATCGATACGATTATGGAATTTCCATATTTTAAAATTTATTCTAGTTGATCGTGCGTATCTTTATTTTCAGGAGAAACAATGATTTCAGTAAGAAAATGAAAAAATTCATTGGCAATTGTAGCGAAATCGAGAAATACGAATTTTTTCAAAACAAAAAAAAATGATTTTAGTTGAATTAATTTAAAACAACAAGAGAATCAATTTTAATCTAAATATACAACTAGTAGTATAATCGATTTATCGAATAGTGGAATTTAAAAATATTTTAATTCCAAAGTAATGAATATCTATGATACTTTTCATCCATTATATATATAGCAAGTTAATTGTCTTTTCTTATATATTCTTCTTTCTTATCTCCACCATTTTTAATCAGTTAATTAAAGCACTCGTCACGAAGATGTAATTAGATTCGTGATAAAAGACTAAAGTCTTATATTATATATCATCTTCTTCCTTACTTCTTCTAATAAAATGTTCCGTCTTCCATCTTTCGGTACTAATACTTTATTATTTAAATACATCTCACTTTGTTTATAAAAAATAAACATAATTGTAAAATATAATATATATTATATTAATTTATTTTTTATTACGTATACAAATTACCTAATAAAATTAAATATATTTCATTTACTTTCTAAACACCGATACCACATATCAGCTTGAGTATTATAATTTTTTTTTACAAAGAAACAAAATAAAATTACAATATAAACAAAATTGAAGAAAATATGATGTTTCCTTTTTTTTTTTTCCATACGCTCAATTATTCATGTATGCATATAGAACGTATGTATGTATAAAATTATTATAAATTTAACTATTTGTTAGAACGATTCGCAGTTATGGTTTTGTTGGCGTGTACTGTCTCACCATGTTCTACCAATTTGCATGTAATTTCTGTGCATCGCCAACGCTTTTCGTCTGAATATTCCGAGAAATGTACGGAAAACGAACGACATCTATATGCGTGCATTTGCCTATGCAGTGTAGCATTTCCACGGTTTCTACAACACCACATAAGATACAAACTGTACTATTCAAAATAGCTTAATTGTACGTTAGACTGTTATCTGATGCTTTCAAAAATATTCAACATGTACTCAAATTACAAATTAAATTACTACGCGGATTGTTACATTTATATTTAATGCCTTATAAACAAATTTGACAGTTTTTTTCAATGGTC